GCTTGCTCCTCATGGCTTGCTCAGCCTGCTTTCTTCCAGAACCACCAACCCAGGCATGGCACCACCCCCAATGGGTGGCCTCCCCCATCAATTACTAATTAAGAAAATGTCTTACAGCCAGATTGTGTGGAAGCATTTTCTCAATTGTGGTCCCTCCTTTCCAGTGACTCTAGCTTGTGTCAATTTGACATAAGACTAACCAACACATTACCTATTGTTTCATCAGTGTCTTGGGCAAATAGTTTAACCTCTCACTTGACTCATCTGTAAAAAAGGAATAATAATAGTAGAGCCTGCCTTATTCGTGAGTAGTTAAATGGGTAGAGAAACACCCAACAGTGTCGAATTTAAAAGGCATTCTTATTCATAATGTTAAATAATAGGTATACAATATTTTATAATAACAAAACAGTACCTGGTACATAAATACTCAACAACTGACCTCTGTGGTTCACTGGCAATTTTAGGACAGTAGACATTTGAGGGTTTTTTATTAACAATTTTTATTGGCTCTTTGGGAATTTCACACCAGGCACCCCAATCCCACTCATCTCCCAGTCCCTCCATATCTGCCTCCAACCTTGTTGTATGTCCCCCACAAGGAAAACCAAAAAAGAATAATAAAAATACAAATAAGAATGTTAATTTAAAAGCAAACACAGTGTGGTCTACAGAGCAAGTTCCAGGACAGCCAGAGTTGTTATGCAGAGAAACCTTGTCTCAAAAACCGAAAAAACAACCAAAAACAACACTTCACTCCTCCATCTTTGCCGCCCTCCTTCCCCTCTCCACTCATCTTTACGGCATTGGGAGCTGCTGCGTACCGTGCAGTATGTAGGCCCTTTTGTCCACACAGCGTTACTGGCTTCACTTGCAGGTGTTCATGGTGTAAGGAGTTGTTGGTCAGATGCAGGGCCTCTGGCTTCTGCTACCCCACCAATACTGGACCCTCACAGAAACTCCTCTTGTACATCCTGCTGTTGCCCAGATGGAGTCATGGAGATGCTGTGGCTATGGCTCCAGAGGACCAGTCCCTTCATACGCCCCAGCAGGTCATAGATGGGGTAGATGTTGGGGAGTGCCAACTCAAAGCCTTGGATGTGTGTCTGGTGGTTGACATTTGAAATTTTCACAGTTGCCTTTTGAATACTGTGTGCATGGCTTTTAGTCCCCTTTTGTCTTAAGGCTCTTCTAGAATAGATTGTTCTCCTTGTCAAGTCTGAATCATCCTGTGTCCCAGAGTACTCAGAGCATCAACTCCACTGGCAGGGAAGACCAGGGTGTCTGTATCCCAGGGACCTTCTTGAACATTCCCCTCCCCTAACCCCAGGACTTAGCAAGACCCCAGAGGAAGCAAGCTGGTTCTGGATGTCCCATCTGGAGTCCGGAAGACCAGCACTCTACCTGGAACATCCCCTACAGATAGTAGGTTCCTCCAAAAACTTATGCAAAGTGATCCAAGCAGTCTGGGTTTAATTACATTTAGGTTTTATTGTTTTGGTATGGTTTTCTGAACTAAGGTCTTCCTGTGCAGCCCAGGCCAGCCTGGAACTTGCTGTTCTCCTGCCTCGGTCTTCAGCCTGTTGGGATAATAAGCATGTACCACCAGCTTGGCTCTTGATGACATTTTTTTAAGATTTATTATTTCATGTGTAAGTATTTTTCCTGCATGCATGTATATGTACCACCTCAGTGCCTGGTGCCCTGGAGGTCAGAGGAGGTGTTGGGTCCCTGGAACTTAAGCACAGATGTCGTGAGTCACCGTGTTTGTAGGTGCTAGGTGCCAAGCCTGGGTCCTCTGCTCGAGCACCAAATGCCCTTGCCCTCTAAGCCGTCTCTCCAACCCCTTCTTAGAAGCCGATCTCGAGCCATGTTCCTGACTTCTCTCCGGTGAAATGTTGTCCTTACAGTGCAGTGGGTAGAGAGGGTAGGAAATGGCACCCAAAGACCATAGAGATGGAGGTCTTCTCCACTGCACTGCACTGGGAGTGGGGTCTTAACAGTGGGAATGGCTGAGGATCCCAGCTCCAGGGGCTTCCTGGTCTCTGTAACAGATGCTGGCCTCCTACAGTGAGCTCAGATGTTAGTCAGGAAGAGAGGTGGAGACGAAATTCTAAACAGTCTTAGTAAATAAGAAACACAGAGCCAAATACAGAGGCAATAGCCAAAGAGATCAGAGAGCAACAACTACTTTACCTTACCTTACCTTACTGTCTCTTCCCCAGAGAGAGAGCTTCTTCCTGTCTGATTTGTGTTTGTTTTTATTGCCTTTCTGTTCTGCTTTCTCATTGGCTCTTAGCTCAGCCACATGACTTCCTGTCTATATAGACCTCCAGGTCTCTATGGTTGGTACTAGGATTAAAGGCTTGTCTCTGTATGTCCTTGACCACACAGAGACTGCCTGCCAATGTGATCAGATTAAGGGCATGTGCAACCACCGCCGGACTTCTGCTTATGGCTTGCTATGTGACCTCGCTATGTGACCTCTGATCTCCAGGCAAACTTTATTTATTAACATACAAATAAAATCACATTTCAGCACAATTAAAATATCACCACAGAGAGGCGTTACACGTGGCCAGTGGTAGTGGCCTGCTCTAGTTTCATTCCTGTTACTGTGATAAAACACCCAAACCCAAAGCATGGTAGGGAAGAAAGGGGTTATTTTGGTTTATAATTCCAGGTTACAGAGAAGTCAAGGCAGGAACTTTCTCAAGTCCCCATTCAAGAGCAGAGACTCGAGCCCAACCATGCTGCCTGCTTGCTACTGTTTCCTCAGGGGCCATTATAGAAAACTAGTTTTCAGGGTTGGGGATTTAGCTCAGTGGTAGAGCGCTTGCCTAACAAGCACAAGGCTCTGGGTTCGGTCCTCAGCTCTGGTTTAAAAAACAAAACAACAACAAAAACATGCATACACATAAAATTAAAATTAAAAAAAAAAAAAAAAAACAATAGACAGGTAACCAGCTCCCCAGTGGCATTCTCTTACCTACAGAATATATACATTCTTTTACATGGTCTTCTTACCAGAGATCAGAGTCTGGGCCTCATTTCCCCCTTAGGATGTTTATTTTTATTTTATGTATATCAGTATGTAGACCACATGGTGCCCGGTGTCTACAGAAGTTGCTTAAACGCAGTAGTAAGCCGCCATGTGAGTGCTGGGAACTGAACCCAGATCTGCTTCAAGAGCAGCCACGGCTCTTAACCAACCACTGAGCCATCTCTCCAGCCTCAGTTCTTGGCCTCTTAGCCAAAGAATTGAAAGAGGGACTCAGGAAAGTTTGCAGTAGACGCCAAATGAGTTTACTTGGAGCAAAGCAGCAGTGCGGGTTAGGGAGGGAGACCCCGTCAAGGCTGGCGGGCTGCATTGGTGAGGGCGCCACTGAGAGGCCTCGGGCCACAGCCTGGAGTCCAGAGGAAGGAGGAGTGGGTTACTCAGGCCACAGTTTGGATGGTTCTCTATTTTGGTTGACAGAGTAGGTCATACATTCATAGTTTTCCTGATGAGCATGTCTCCTCAGTTATGCATTGATGTTAATCATGTGTACACCAATTGTGAGAGGCCTAAGAATGGTGAATAGGGTGTTCTCCCTAGAGTTTACTAGAAGACATGGTTCTGCCTTACTTCACGCACCCAAAGCCAGTTCAAGGCTAATCAGCCTTTCTCTTCTTCATTCCTGGATACACTGGCAGAACACTTGAATAGAAACTGTCTAAATTTGATTGTCACTAGGGACTGGAAAACTTAAACTACTGTTCAGAAATGGGAGTGCGTGTAGCCTGATGCAGGTGGAGTTCATTGGGGTGGAGAGGTGAGGTTTTAGGTACGTTGTTGAAAGGGGGAGTGGACGTAGTACGTGCAGGTTAAGAAAGTAGGCTGCCAAGTACATTGTTACAAGAGGGAATATGTGTCACCCAGAACTAAGTTGGGTTCCAGGGTGCTGAACTGTCTCTATGCCTGCCCTGGGAGGACCTCACGTCCTGGCCATCTTCCTTCCTTACCTCATCCTGTTCTTCCTCACTTCACATTCTGTGTTCTAGGGAAGCAGACAACCTGTAACTCCCCATGAGATCACTTTGCTCAGGTGGTTCCCTGGGCTGTGATGGGCCCACCACATTCTTGCCTTTTCCCCCTTGGTTTGCACCGTTATATGGGAATCATGGGTCATACGTGTCGCTTTCTCAAAGATGACTACCGTCTCCTTAAGGGCAGTGATCCTATTCCATCTAATGCTTAGCACATAGGAAGCAGACAAATATATGGTTTTGAGTCAGAACTAAGACTACATTTTAAAAATCTCCACACTGAAAAGCACAACATAAAACTTAACAGGTAGAGACGGTGTCACAGGACCAAACCCAACAAAGCAAACAAGTTGCCCCAAGTTCCAGGTACAAGGCAGCTCCTCTCTCAGTGATCATGTAAGAGGAGGGAGGCCATGGCTCACACTGACTGACTGCATCAGCATCCAGCAGTAAAGCCAGTGTCCTGGTGTCCAGAGCAAGGGAGGTTAATGGCCTGGACAGCTAATGCAGGGTTAAGACCATTCTGTGCTCCAAGTTAAGAAGGGTGAGAGCTGCCTGTAGCAGTTCCGCTGCAAAAGGAAGAGGAAACCCATCTGAAGCAAACAGACTCCAATAATGGTGAGCAGATGCCTACAGGGCTGTTATCAGGAGGGCAGAATTAGGACAGTGAGTGGAGCTCGAGAAAAATCTCTGTGACAGTTAGTTACACTAACAACGAAGTGTGCTGGCTCGTGAGCTTCACGTCACTGCAGGATCCACCCCAGAGCCTCTGGTGCTTTACAGGGACCCAAGTCCTGCAGGAAGTCTGGACTTCTCCCCTGGGCACTTCTGCGGCTTCCCTGAGCAGAGGTGACTGGTTTGCATTGAGCGTCCAGAAGAGATGCGGGGGTTCGTTTCAGTGATGTCTCCCATTCTCCTGTGTCCTTTCCGTGAAAACATGACTTCTTTCTCCGTGCTTTTTTGCTGTCTAGCTCTGGAGAGTCTTGGCCTCTGGGAAGATGTGAGAGGAATTGTCTTGGGATCAGAGCTGGTTACCGGGTTCCCCTGGACCTTCAAGGTGCCAGGCCTGCCACAGTACCTGCAGAGCCTGACCAAACTGGCCATCCCTGAAGTGTGGGCATCGCTGGCTGAGGCTGAAGGGCAGGCGGCTGCTCTTCCTCTCTCCTTCTCTCGGCTTCTGGAGTCTTCCTTTCCTGAAGTACGCTTGCTAACCCTGGACACCCTGCTGGAAAGGGCCATATCCTCTGAACTGGGAGAGAAGGGATCACCTCCCTTGCTGTGCAGTATGAGAGAGGAGTTCCTGCTGCTGGCGATGAAGGAAAACCACCCAGGATGTTTCTGCCGGGTAGGGTCTCGCTGCACTGACACCCCTCTGTGTCCCACTTTCATTTGGAAACCACCAGGACGATACAAACGAGGAAAGCAAGTCAGGCTTGTACTTTCTGGGGCAACAGACAGTAGCTTAGCATCCCTAAGACCAGGGTCCTCTCTTTTGCTTGGCTTCATGTGTAGAAGAGTTCCAGGGGGGCAGTGGTACTGCTCGCAAAGACTTATCAGTTGTAGGTCGAGCCCCTCTGTCTTTAGAAAAGGTCACAGAGAATTAGCTGTGGGGGTGGACAGAGAGCACAGTAGGCAGTGCTCGCCCACAAGCTTGAGGACCAGAGTTCAGCTCTCCAGCACCCCTGTAAATGGCATCCTACCTGTAATGCCAGCACTCGGGGTGAAGATGGGATCCCTGGGGAAAGCCGGCTAGCTAGACCAGACACACCAGGAAGTCCCACGTGCAGTGAGAGGCCTGGAGAATGGAGGCCTGGAGAATGGAGGAGGTCTGGAGAATGGAGGCCTGGAGAATGGAGGAGGTCTGGAGAATGGAGGCCTGGAGGATGGAGGAGGTCTGGAGACTGGTGGCCTGGAGACTGGAGGCCTGGAGAATGGAGGCCTGGAGAATGGAGGTCTGGAGACTGGAGGTCTAGAGAATGGCCAAGGGAAGCAACTGGTGTCACCTCTGGCCTCCATTAGCTGTGACACCTCTCAGACTATCCTGACTGATATGCCTAATTACAGGCAAATGGCTACCTGGGAAGCCTGCTCAAAATGAAAGGAGATTTCCAGGCTTGGCATCTCAGATATTTAGGAGGCTGGGGCCGGTCTAGGCTACAGAGTGAGTTCAAAGCTAGCCTGAGTACTTAATGAGACTTTGTCCCAAAATTAAAAAGTGAAAAAGGGAAGGGAATCTGGCTCAGTCTAGCATGTGTGAGACCACATAGGCTTCTGGCGCTGATCCCAGGTCACCAAGGACCCTCAAGCTTGCCATTGCTCTGCCCTGCCTCAGTTCCTCAAAGATGGTACAGAGGTATCCAGCGGAGACTTTAATCCCAGCACTCGGGAGGCAGAGCCAGGCAGATCTCTGTGAGTTCGAGACCAGCCTGGTCTACAGAACAAGATCCAGGACAGGCTCCAAAGCTACACAGAGAATCCTTGTCTCGAAAAACCAAAAAAAAAAAAAAAAAGAAAGAAGAAGAAGTCAGTGGAATTTAGGGGCCCTTTGAAAATAGATTCCCCTCTTTACTGTTATAAACAATCTTGATTTAGGACCACAAGACTTTTCCCAGTGTGTTTATTGATCTTGTTTTCTTGGATTTGACCCACAGGTCCTGAAGATTCTCTGTCATATGAACCCCAGTGAGTGGCTTCCCCAGACAGAATGCTGTGTCCACCTCTCCCCAAAGGAGTTCCTGATCTGGACGATGGATATTGCTTCCAAGGACAGGTTTGCCCCAGGGCTTCTGTGCAGTCTTGTGGACTAATGCCCCTTCAAGTCATCATGTAGGGAGCCTGCTCGCTGTCCTTCCCTAAGGGCCCAGGGACTGGCTTCCTTTCTAAGCCTCAGCCTAGGAGCTGTGTTCTAAACTCCAGTAATAGACGAGTGTCCAGTTCTCACACTAGTAACCAGAGGGTACAAGAACTTGTACAATCAGGTAAAGAATTAATATCTACAAGGGTTATAAGCTATTTACATAAACATTTGTGCATAAAATATGTTAAATATAGCTCAGTTGGTTGAGTGCTTATCTAGCATCAGCAAAGCCCTGAACTTTATTCCCAGCACCACAAAAGCTGATGTGGTAGCACATACCTGTGATCCCAGCCCAAAAGAGGATCAGAAGTTCAAGGTCAGCCTTGCCTACGTAGTGAGATTGAGGCGAGCTTTGGTTACATGAGACCCTGTCATCTCTTGTGTTTAACTTGACTTATGTGTGTGGTAACTGTTGAGAATTTGAGAGAGAGTTCTCATTTCCTTTCATTTTCCAGATCTGAAGTCCAGAGTGTAGCTCTGAGACTTGCCTCCAGAGTGATTGCCTACCACGTGCAGACATGTGAGGAGGTAAGGCTGACTCTGTCCTTGTCCCGAGGCCTGGGTTCCTACCCAGAGGGTGGTGGTGAAAGGGAACTAACTGTCCCAGGGGACAGGATCACAGCGACTCAACAGAAACGTTACTTGTCCTGAAGTTTAACTCTGGGAATCACCTGCAAAGACTCAGAACACATGCTTTCTTCTCTCTCGTAGCCGTTTTTGACTGGAGCCTCTGAGGGTGGAGTCTCCCCTCCCCGGCACACATATGTCCATTGCTTTCTCCCATTTCGGTAGCTAGACTGTTGGAAGAGGACTATGCAGTCAATCAAGGGGATCTAGGAGTTCAGCTTGGTGGGCGAGTATGCCGATGGGTTGCACCAGCTGGAATACCCGGCCTGCCGTGTAAATGAGCTGTATCTGAACCGAGTCCCACCTGTAGGGAGCCCGACCTGTCCCATGTCCCCTTTGAGGGTGAAGTGGAACTAAAGTAAGCAAAACAGCCTCCTGGGAAAGGCCGTGAGTCAGATACGTACCTAAGTGTCTTCGAGAGGCATGGTGCCCAGGCTCAGAAACATTGTGGAAGAGGGGGCGGAGAGAATCAAAGAGCTGGAAGACAGGAGAGGGGCAGTGACATGCCATCCTCTAGACAGGACACAGCAGTGTTACTTATTACACTAGGCCTGCACAGCATAGGCCCTCCCTGCAGTCAGTCATGGATAGGGGAGGGACTCTGTCCCTTGAATCATAGGCTACCAGTAGACTCGGAGAGAGCAGTCATTTTAAGTTGTGTAACCACCAGTGAACCTACCAGACTCCAGTCGGCAGCTTCAGTACCAAGGCCACACCACACAGATGATCCTAATCAATCCCAGGGGCTACAAATCAAACGTGGTGTGGCAAAGTGTTGTAAGGAAGACGGGAGGGGACACAGGTGGAAGGAGATGAGAAAGGTGGATGAGGGCAATAGGAATGCATCGCAGACTTCTGTAAACTTGTCAAACAGAAGGCCAGCACCGTCTCAAGGTCGTGAGCGGACAGTGACCAATCTGCAGTACGATTACACCTTTCCTCACTGTGCTGGCAGAGGCAAAGGTGGCGGGTTCTGCATGATCACCAAGAGATGCCGGGATGAGCACCTTAGAGTGCGGACTAATGGAAGAAAGAATGCTGAGTCACTGTGGGACTCAGAAGCCCAGGGGAAGGAGGGAGTGCTTGAGGACTGAGGAAGACTAGAGAGGAGGTTTTTAAAGGTCAGATTGCCTGGAGAGATGGCTCAGCAGTTAAGAGCACTGGCTGCTCTTCCAGAGGTCCTGAGTTCAAGTCCCAGCAACCACATGGCGGCTCACAACCACCTGTAACGCAGTCTGATGCCCTCTTCTGGTCTGCAGACATACATGCAGATAGAGCACTCATACATAACATACATAAATAGACAAAATTTAAGAAACAAAAATCAGATTACCCAAGGCTAGGCCAGGGTAAAACCTCAGTGTTAGCATTAGCAAGCAAGGAAGAAGATCCCATGCTCTGTCATTCAGAGGCACAACTGAGGACCAAACCTAGATCACAGGCCACTAGGAGATACAAAAAATTTTAAAATAAATAGATGAAAACAGTGTTTGAAAGTATAGGAGAGATATGGAAAAGACATGATTTGCTTAAAAGAGAAATAGGTCTGCGGCTATGGCTCAGTAAAGAAAAGCACTTGCCCAGCGTGCACCAGGCCCTGTGTTCCAAACCTCCCCAGCACTACATCCAACCCAAAGCCTACCCCTGTAACCCCAGCTCTCCTGAGGCTGAGACAGAAGGACCACAGTTGTGAGCACAGCTACAGAGAGAGACCAATGTCTCAGGAAATAAACAGCGACAGCAAAACACAATAGCCCCGAGTTCGAAGGCAGCAGTCTAGACAGCCCAAGCAAGTCTGCCGGAGAAACCAGTTCAGCTGCCCCTCACCAGTGCCTCCACAGGTAGCTGTTTGGAACTTGAAGTATTATCCTGTGGAATTGGAACATTGTCTAGGGAGAGAACGCGCCACAGAATGGCAGAATGACATAGAGAAACACATTACCAGAGCTCTGGGGAGGGAGCCGGGCTTTGCTGTCAGCCGCTGAGAATGTCAGTTTGGATCCATAGAGCCACTGCCCCGCAGCTCAGAGGAATCGGCAGGCTCACGTGGTACAGCTAAGAGGTTCAGCTCCTTGGTGAAGTGTCGGGGAGACTGCCCTCCAGTTCTCTAATGGTGGCCTTCATAAACCAGAGACATGCCTTTCTCCCAGTTCCGAGCTCTCCTCTGCTCAGACATGGCAGAGGTGGCATGTGGTGAGAAGGCATGAAGGAAGGGAGCAGACAGACAGAAGAATTCACTTGTGCAGCAGAGCTACTCGTGTCAGGGTTAGCCCAGCCTGGAGATACCAGCACTTACCCTTTAATCTCTCATCACCTCTCAGAGGGCGCTGTCCCATATAACATGTCACAGCAGCAGTGTGAGCTCAACATGACCTTGGGAGGAAATCACCCAAGCACACCAGGAAGTAGGTCACCTGGAATGAGAATCTCCTTTATAGGAGAAGTGAGAAATGAGTACAAAAGCTAAAAATTAGCCAAGTGCCAGAACCCAGTGGGGAATATTATTTGGCCATGAAAAGGAAGAGATCAAGCTTAGAAACCTCAATCTGCTGGATGTGGTGGTATACACCTGGAATCCCCCAGCACTTGGGAAGTAGAAGGCAGAAGAATCAAGAGTTCACGGCCAGCCTGTGCTATAGGAGACCCTGCCTAGAAGAAAAGAAAACTTTAATGGGTGAACAGGAGCTACTCATAAAAGATTACATGTTATATGGCCCCGTTTATATAGCATGCCCAATTAGAATAGAATCGGAGAGTAAAGGATTGGGGTAGGACACAGAGACGGAGCGTGGTAGGAAATGGCGTGGCGCTTGTCCTCTTGGGAAGTGCTCTGAAGTCGACTGCAGAAGGGAATGTGTTTACTCTGACCTGTACGTCACACAAAGCACATACAAGTCAGAGTATCACAGATGGGCCACAGACGTGTACATGTCTTAAGTGTCACTTAAAGTCTTAGAAGAAAAACATAAATTAGGCACCAGTAAAGCTCTTGTTATCAAAAACAGCGGGGCTTTGCTTCGAGCTGCTGCTGTTTCTTGGGGCTGGAGATGGATCACTCGTGAGCTAGCTCCCTTTGTGTTCTCAGAACAAGGATTCCATAGCCGCTGAGCTGAGGCAGTGGGTCCAGCTGGTTGTCTGCTCCTGTGGAGACCATCTTCCTACTACGTCTAGACTGGCTGCTGCTGACGTCCTCACAAGCACCGCGCCCCTGTTCCTCACCAATCCCCGGCCCATTCTTGGTAAGTGTGCTGAGCAGGGCGCCCACTGCACCCCCTCAGCTAACACGGGAAGAGACAGAGAGCCCAGCCTAAGGAGGGGACCCCGCCAAAGGCAGCGTGTGGGACGCTTTTGCGTGTTTCCTGGATTGTCTGTCCTGGTTCCTATTGGGACTGGCACCAACAGCTGCTTGCCTTCTCTCCCTTCTGTCTTCTGAACTAAAGCTGTCCCGTGTGCACTTGTTCAGGGCACCCAGGAGCATTGCGCTTTCCTGTCTGTCAGTGTGACCCTTTCGGTAGTCCATTGTTAAAATCTCTCACTTGAGACAGTGTCCCTGTGCAGCCCAGGAGAACCTGGGACCTGAGAAGTTCCCTGTCTTGGCTCCCAAGTCCTGGGATTACAGTGTACACCACCATGCTCCACTGCCGCGGAGCCTTGAGTGGGCCCCCACTGGCTCCAGACTAAGTCCACACAGCCTTTAACATGGCTCACTGGGCCCTGTCTGTTCCACTCTTTCTGCTTTTCTGTTTCTTCCCTGGCCCACCCTCCTGCCTGCCTCATCATCTGCCACTCCTTCCTCGGGCCTGTTTGTCATCAGCAGGGACGGCTCTCTATAAACAAACTCTGCCTGACGACTTGTTGGCCTTTCAAGACTCAGCCCAGCCTTCTCCTCCTCCAGGAAGCCAGGACTTCCTTAAATGACACAGGGAAGTGCTCCCCAGGACTCCGTGCTACTGAGGTTCAGAAGGGGCCAGGCTGGCTTCCAGGCTTTTGTCTGATGTCCTCACAGGGTTGCTGGTTCCCTTCACTACTCAACTGAACTTGAAATCAACCCTGGGATATGAAAGGCGCTATTCCGAAGTCAAATGGATGTGCAGCTCTGAGCTGGCTTCTGAACTGGGTTCCTCCCCTCTCTCCACTCTCATGCCTAGAGAGCACTACCTAGGGAAAAGCTTCGTGCCAACGATGCTGAAGGAAGTGGAGTCTGAGGAGAGCCTCAGAAGACGAAGAGCATGGGGGTGTTATTTCATGTTTTTATTGTGTTGCTTTGGAGTTTATTTTGATTTGTAAATACAGGGTTTAATTAAAGGAAACCCAGGGCCACAGAGCCAGGCTCCGGCCCAGATCCTGTCCTCCGGCCCACTTCCTGTCACTTCCTGTTTCTCTTGACTACTTTCATGCTTGGCCCCAAGAATCAGGCAGGGGCCTAGCCCCCAAGGAGCTTACAGTGTTGTTGTGGTGACAGATTTCCGGGTCAGGGGAAGATCATTTTTTGGGTGGTGACGTGGAAGTTTAAGTGAGACCTGTGAAGTGCCCACCTGTGCAGCCTCTGCCTTGCTGTCCTTCTTCTTCTGAGTGGCATCACCAGCGGCCCTCCCATGGTTACGATTTGATCACTGAACCCACAGCGGTGAGGCCAGTATACTTTGGTTAGGTCAGGCATGGTGCTCCGGGCCTGCAGTCCTGGCTACCTGAGAGGCTGACGCTGGTCAACTGGCCTAGACAGCAGCCCAGTGAAACCCTCTCTCTAAGGCAGTGTGTTTCTTCTGTTGTGTCAGGCATTCTCAGTAAGCTCGGTTCCATTTTGCAGCACATTTTTCTGAACAACCTTGGTTACTCTGTCACTCACAACAAGTAGAATTTGTGTAAGACAACCTGAAATTCTTGTGTGGAATTGAGTCTTAGTTTGTGTTAGCTGCTGGTGCTAGGGATGGAATGCCAGTGGCCAGCTCATCAAGAGCAGCAGCCAGCCAGAGATGTGAGGACAGCTTGAAAGGGACTAAAGAGGGGAATGTTTCAGAGATTCAATGACCTTGGTACTGAGAAAACTCAAGATGGAGTCTATGGCGGCACATGCCCAGAATCACAGCCTTTGGGAGGTGGAAGCAGGAGGGTCTCAGGAGGTCAAGGCCATCTCGGGCTACAGAGTGAATCTGAGGCAGCCTGGGCTGCTGGAAACCCTGTCTCAAAAATTAAAAAAGCATAGATTCTGTAAGGAGGAGTAAAGCGTAAAGCTTGATCTGGGAGTGAAGAACTAAGCTCCAGATGGTGCTGTTGGCAAAGGGGCGGGGCCTCAGCTCAGACTGCTCCTTTGGAGGCAGCTGGGTGGTGCTCTGCCATTGCACTCTAATGAGACCCTCCTAAAATCTGTCCCTGGAGTCCATTTCAGTGTTTTCCTGCAGTCACCCAGCATCATGTGTGACTGTTCTTTACCTGTATTCTAGATCTCATGGCCCTCGATGCTGCTCACAGCAGATTCCGCCTGTTTGCATAGCAGTACCGTATGGTAACTGGCAGAACCCATGCCAAGGGCCAGTGGCAGCAGAAAACAGGCCCCAGAAACATGTAACACGGGCCCTTTGTCATGGCCTTTCCCACTTTGGATTCTTGCCCCCAAACCTGATATTGATTAATACTTTGCTTTTCAAAATTGGTAAGTTCTCGTAGTCTCCCAAACTACACTAAAATAACTTCTGCAAAGTACTCTGGTTTTTTGAGATAAGTTCTCACCATGTAGCTCAAACCCCCACTCCATATAGGGTCTCATTATGTAGCCCTGGCTGTCCTGGAACTCTGTATGTAGACCAGGCTGGCCTTAATCTCACAGAGATCTACCTGCCTTCTGAGTGCTGGGATTAACCGTGTTAAAAACATTCTTGTTACATAAATTGTGCCACTTTAGAGAGTTGTCCAGAACTTTGTAGGCCAGTCAGCACCTTCTGGAGACTCTGCCCTTCCTCCTCCTACAAAAAAGATGTTTCCAGGCTCCCCAGCAGGACCCTCTCTGTTCCAGTGTTGGTCCAACCTCAGGTTTTCCTGTCTTACAGTAACACCCCCTCCCAAAAAGGAATGGCTGTGGCTTCTTCATAATGTCCCTCCCACATGCGGTTGAAGCAGTCTTACTACACACTTGTCAGTGACACTGTAGATGACATGAACTCCTCACATGATTTTCTTTACAGAACTGCAGGACACGCTTTCTCTCTGGAGGTGTGTCCTTACCCTTCTGCAGAGTGAGGAACAAACCGTCAGAGAGGCAGCCGCGGAGATCGTGACAACAGCCACGTCACAAGGAAACACTTGCCAGTCAACAGGTACTTTGTTCTTGACCTTGTATCTTCCCTTACTGCTCCAGGACCACATCTGCAGACTCTACTTAGAACCTCCTAGAGAAGGTTGATTTCAAATGTAGAAATTTAATATACAGCATCCTTTCTTGGTTGCATTGTCAAGTTTTAAATAAGGGCAGATCTTGGTTATCTGTATGCTTACATAAGCCAGGAATCACTGAGCCGTCATTTTGTTCCTACATGAGTTTTCATGTGTGTAAGTTGAATTTTGCCTTTCTGCGCCTTTGTTCCTTATTTGGTAACTACAGTAGCCCGAGACAGGAGTCAGGCAGAAGGACAGGTCTGGATGGGTAGCGCTGAGCTCACTCACTGTACAGCCATTGCAGCCCTGGCCTGGGGTCATCTCGGTGTTAGGGAAGCAAAAAGGAACTCCTCTTGAGGGAGGACAAGGGCTGCTGGCCTAAGGGATGAGAAGTTCGAGTGGAGGCAAGGTCACACACTTCTGGGTGAGCTGACCATCTGGGACAGGGACTGTGTTTATGGATGTAGAATACTTTGGCCTGGATTGCAGGATGTTTCTGGGCCAGTCACCCTGATGAGAAGCATGACTGCCATTCTGAGGCAGGAATCACAGCTGTGCAGAGAAGTTCCCCATATGGACAGCTGAACAGGAGAGGACAAAGCTGTCCAGTATTGTAACTCTCCGCAGGCAAGGACCACTCTCTGAAGCACTGTACTGGTCTGTACAGGGAGGGTTCCTGCAGTGTTCAGCTTGTGGAGACCTCAGCTCTGCCGTGTGTGCTTTCCTGTGCATGGAGGGAAGGAGCTAGTTTTTGCACAGTCTTGCAGTTATGTTACTCCAAGGCAGGTTGAGCCAGGACCAACCTGGCCTCTCAGTGAAGCACGAAGAGGGAGCTCCGAGTTGTGTACAGAAGTGCTCTGCACCCCAGTGCCGGCCTGCAGACCACTTCCTCATGAATGATCCCCATGGAGTCATCCCTTTCCCATCGAAGCTTGCCTTTCCTTTTTTATTAACATTTAGTTGTCTCTGTGTGCGCGCATGGCAGGGGCGGGTGGGGTGTACAGAGGATAACTTGTAAGAGTCAGTTCTCCTTCCACTGTGGGTCCTGGGCTCGAACCCCAGGTCGTGAGGACTGGCAGCCCTCTCACCGTCTGACCCAGAGTTTTTCCTAGGAGGATCCTTGTGATGTACGGCAAGTACACAGCAGACTCGCGGGGGCGGGTGTGTGTGTGTGTGTGTGGGTGGGTAGGTGTGTGGGTGTGTGTGATACCCGTGTTCTCCACGGACCTGCTCTGCCTAAGATGCAAACAAGAATTTCACAGTGAATTCACACATGGCCGTTTTCTCGTATCTTTAAAATTGTAGTCTTTGCTCTCTTTTTATTTCTTTCAGTTTTCCAAGTTCATGTATGATACAAATATATTATCACTTTCATTTTCCTTCTAGCTTGATTCATAAGAAAGTGAGATCACTAATTTGTATTGAGCCTTTCTGCATCTTAAACTCCTGTATAAGTCTCCTTAAGAAAGCCTCCTTACCAAACTTTGTGTTGCTCATCCTGATGGATAAAAAGGATTTAGAAGCTGGGTATAGAGGTTCATGCCTGTCACCTCAGCACTGGGGAGGCGGAAGCAGGGTTGCTGACAGTTCAAGGCTGCTCTGGCTTACATGGTGTGGTCCAGCTCAGCTAGGGCTAAAGAATTAGATTCTATGTGAACCAGGCATGGTGGCACACCCCTGAAGTCCCAGTACTCAGGAGGTAGATCACACAAGCTGTCTCGGGCCCTCACTGTCTCTGGCGTTTGCCAGCCTTCGCCTAGGCCCCAGTCTCCTGCCTCTCAGGCCTGCCTGGGACTCAGGTGGTGGAGCAGAGAGCCAGCCTGCGATGGTGCAGGCCATGGACACAGTTAACTGGGAGACCCTGAAGGAACCTCCTAGGTATGGCGTGATAGCCCATAAAAACTGTAGAATCACAGTGAGCCCTGGCAGAGAAGCAGAACACTGAATGGAAGCATAGTATGGGAGGTAAGTGTTTAAGATTAGAACGTAGGCAGGTGGCATTGTAGAAAGCAAGCCCAGACAGCCCTGCAGCCCTGCAGCCCTGGGCAACAAAGGAGGGAAAACCCCACACTTGCTCAACTCCCCGCAAAGTGCTCTTCCCCGTCACCACCCTAACACGCTCATAACATATGTGCACCATTGCCACCCACAGAGAGTCAGTGAGCCAGCATGAAAGATGGACACTCCTCAGATGTTCCAACCCTTGGGCAATCAGGGAAGAAGGCCTGAGTATGGAGATAGAGTACTAGGTCACCGTGACATTTCACAGTGGCCTCATGGTGAGACAGCTCAGTCAGCAGAGCCTCGGGCCTTTGGAGATTTATGCTGAGTCACAGGCGGCTCCACCTCCAACCTTTGAAGGCTGCCCACCAGCCTCAGACCTGGGGGTCGACTCTTGTTTTGTGTCCCTCCTGCCCGCTCACAGGCAGTTTGCAGGGTTGGGCCCAGAGGTGTCTCCGGGCATCTCTTCCATCCTCCCTCTGCCTTCCTGTAGGTTCTTCCTAACCTGCTCAGGTGCGTTGTCTCTAAAGCCTTTGAGAATCAGTCCTCTGTGTGTGCCATCAGTCTTTTTCAGGGAGGGGCCAGGGCCTGGAGAGACGGCTCAGAGGTTAAGAGCGCATACTGCTCCTTAGGAGAATCCGAATTCGGTTCCCAGCATCCAAGCCAGGAGGCTCACTACACCTATAGTCCAGTTTAAGGGAGAGCCCCTGGCCTCCATGAGCACCTCACTCATGTGTACACAGTTACATACAGATACATGTGGAGCCACTCCATTTGAAGGTAGCATCCCGCATATGTGAAGGAAGAAACGATGAGATGAGCCCTGCCCACCGTTCAGCAAGCACTCACAAAGCCCATCCATCCTCAGTCTTACTTCCTGTGCTGGTGTTGGAGCCCTGCCCTCTCTCCCCGGCACTTCTTCAGGTCCATCAGCCTGCGCTTCATGCCTCCTCCTGTCCCACTTTGTCCATGGGGCTCCTGATGAGAGGGCTCACTGTGACAGCTGTCCATGCTGCTGCTCCCCTGCCCACTTCCCTACCCTGGCCCCCGAGCAGCACCAAAAGCCCTCCTGACCCGACCCCTCTCCTGCTCCCCCCCCCCACCCTAGCCACCAGTCTTCCTGAGGCTTGTCACACCAGCCTGAGGACCTCGGCTCTGTACACGCTGCTCTTCCTGCATTGGCCTTTCCTCCTTCCTGTACCTGCCTACCCACTAATCCCATGCCTATCTCAGCCTCAGCACCACTCCACAGAGCACTGGCCACCCAGACTGTGGTGCACACCCGGTCATTGCTGACCCCTCCCTCCCTGCTGTCTTCATTCTCTGCAGGTTTTAGTGGGTGGTGTTCTCGCTCCCTCCAGCAGAACAGCAGCTCCCCAAGAGTAGAACTGTGTGTGTGTGTGTGTGTGTGGGTGTGTGTGTGTGTGGGTGTGGGTGTGTGTGTGTGTGTGTGTACACGTACAAGTGTGCCACAGCATGCATGGTGGAGGTCAAAGAACCTTGCACAAGTCCGTTTTTGCTTCTCCCTGGGATCAAACTCAAGTCACCAAGCATGGCAGCAGCTGCGTTTACCCACTAAGCAATCTTACTGGTCCTGGTTGGTTGGTTTGATTGTTTGTTTTTGTTGGGTTTTTTGTTTTGTTTTGTTTTTCAGACAAGGCCTCACCCTGTGGCCCAGGGTGCCTTGGTCTGAAATTCACTACATAGCCCAGGCTGATGTCAAACTCTTGGTAGTCCCCCTCCAGCCTCCCATTTGCTGTATAGAGTAGGTTTTTGTCTTTGCTCCCTGCTTTGATTTTTAGACCCTGGCATCCACTAAAAATCACTGTGTAATCTGTTGGATGGATGGATGGATGGATGGATGGATGGATGGATGGATGGATGGATGGATGGATGGATGAATAGATGGATGGGAAGAATGTATCAGTCAAAATAGTTCAAAACAATAAGGATTTAGTGTTTTCAGCACTGACTTGATGAGGGAGAGATGGAGGTAAACCCCTTTGGATTTTAAGTTGTTAAGAAATTATTCTATGAGACTGTGAGTTCAAGATCAGCCTGGTCTGCATAGGAGTTCTAGAACAGGCTATGTAGAGATCCTGTCTCAAAGAAAGGAAAAGAAGTTGCCTTGAAGTGGGAGATCCCATCCCAGCAGATTCTGTAAGCTCTCTTAGGCCCCTGCTTCCTGGAAACACTAATTCACCAAGGACTGGTCGAGCATCTACTCTCTCTGGGCTGTGGCAGATCCAGACTTCCTTGTTCTCTCCCTTGTCATCCCTCCTTTCTCAAGCAGGGTGGCTTTTTAAGATGTGTTTGTGAGGATGGAGAGATGGCTCAATGCTTAAGTGCACTCCTGGTCACTCTTCCAGAGGACCAGGGTTCAGTTCCCAGCACCTACATGGTTATTCTACACTGTAACTCCATTCCAGAGGACCTGAACACCCTCCTCTGGCCTCTGAGAGTGCTGCACACATGGTGCACAGACGGACATGCAGGTAAAACACCCATATACATAAGAATAAAATTAAATTAAAATGTTTAAGTAAATATTTCTTTATAAATAAATAAAAAATATCATCTGCAAAAACAGCCAGTGCTTTTCAACACTAAGCCCTGTGTCCAGCCCCAGGATGGAAGTTCATGTATGAGCACACACCCTGGGGAGGCGCAGCCTAGTGACTAAGGGCGTACACATCCTCCTCAGGGGACCGCAATGGCAGCTGCTCTGACTGAAGGACACTTCCTTCAAGTCCCGGCTTTCTGGGCAGATGCAACAAACCATCTCCACCTCTGAATGCTGCACACTAGCCTGCAGCACCGGAAGAACACTGATGCTTTTCCTCACTCGAAGCCAGACAAAGCGTTCTGAGTAGTAAATCAGTAAACCAGTGTCCAGAGCCCGTGACCCTGAGGGCCGGAGTGAGACTTGAAGCCGGGACCC